TTTTAAGTAAAAAAAGTTATCTAAACAATATATTTGGTCCATGTTGAATATACTTCACCACATGGAATGATTTGATCTTCTATGGCTAGAACTTTTAATTAAAGAAGAAATTCACAATTACACTTCCTAGAATATTCCACCTTAATTGAATTTTTTCAAATGAGATTAGAACAAAACATTTTAATTGGAAGCTGAGGTCAGGGAGCAGATGTAATAAAAAGAGAAAAGGGAAGATGGGCTGGTGAAATAGTACTGAGTTAGGGTGCTTGCCTGGCCAAAATTTGTAAATCTTTTGCTCAGTTACTCAAAATTTTGAAGTATGTATTTGTGCGTGTATATATACACGCACAAATATATAATTTAATTGCATTTCCAATTTTTACTTTGGGAAGAGTTTTAATTAAAAACAAATAACCTTTTTTTTCCCTTCCCTATGATTTTTCTTTCAAAGTCATATTGGACTTTAAATATTTTCCTCCTATACTCCATTAATTAAACATATCAATCCATAATCACACATCTTTCTTATTTATATAAACACACTAGATTAAAATTATATACAAAATCATTAAGAAGATACACAATTTATTTTTATGTGAAAATAATTTTTCTCTAAAGTATTTTCTCAACCCTCCTCTACTTCTTTGAGTTCAGCTAGGATTCAAAAATAAAAATATCTAAAGAGTACAAAAGTCATATTAAAAGTGAGCTTCCCACTTTATTTCTTTCCAGCATGAGTGCTCTGCTGATAGAAACATGTGCTTACAGGCAGAGCAAAACATGATTTATTTTTCTACAAACTAGTCTGTATGTTCTGTTCATCAATACATGTCCTTACATGTGCAAGCTTTTTCTGCATGGTGCATCACTCTGCTCTGGGGCTCTTTGAAAGTGAGTCTTTCAAGTTTATGCCCTGCAGATTCCTGAAGTGTCTGGGAACTTACCCTTTGCTTTTGCCGAAGGTTTGAAAATAGAATGCTTTGGGGTGACACAACATTGCTGTGCAATTCATTATGGGACAAAGAAATGTCTGGGGTTAGGCAGGCAAGCAGCTAATGATCCTTCATTTTGGCCAGAAAACATCAAGATCGATATGTAGGACATGCAACATTTATGGAACACTGTGCTTTCTTTTCCCTCTAGGGGAGGGAGAAAATAGCAGATGATCTCTGTCTGTGGATGGCTACAATGATTGACGCTATTTAACACATGTCTTTGGCCTTTTCTTCCCACCTGCTAGCAGCAACACAGCTGTCTGATCTTTGTTAGCTCCATATATCACATATACCAGACTTCAACTAATTTGATTGCCAGCATGTATATTTAGTTTCATTGATCCAGGCAGCCAAAATCTGGGATAACATTATAATCCAAAGGAACGTCAGCAGTGCTGTGAGACTCTAATAGGCATCAATGATCCATGATGTATTCATTAAAACTTAATCTTTTATGAACAAATAGGAAGAGCCCAAAGAGAGGAAGCATGATCCAAGAGAAAATATCTACAGTTTCCTTCCAACTCACTGATTCTATTAGGAATTAAAATGAAATACCAACATGAGTTATTAAATGTGTAATTAATACTTTATGAATAATTTATGTAATTTTTCCCTAGAATGATTCAAATCAAAATGAAACAGTGCATAAGGATCAGTACTATATGTCTTTCCAACTAATATTAACTATAATCTTTAAAAATTTTGAAATTTATAGCAATGTCAAATTTGGGACTGACAGATTGTTTTTTCTCATTTCATAGAAAAGCCACAATGGTGGACTGGAAAATCAGATGATCACCTAAGGAAAATGATTAACTTGGCATTTTATTGAGCATGAATAATTAGGCCCAAAGGCATGGTGAACATTTCTATATCTTCTCTAAATGAAGAAGTAAAGGGTGTGAATATTGTACTAATTGTTTTCTTCTTGCTTAGGGTAAGGTTAAAGTGGGGCTCTAGTAAGAGAGGACAGTTGACTTAACATTTAATCTTTCAATAGTTTTATTAAGGCCTGAAGATCTCAATTAACTTTTGGATCCTTATGGATCTTTTATTCATACAACCTTAAAACATTGCACTGAAACCATAAATGTGCAGTTTTATGATACCACAAATTTTCGAGTTTAAGGATGCCAAATCTTGATAATGTGAACTTTGAGATTAGTAGAATATTTAAAATGCTGTTTTAATTACCGACAGATCAGATCAAGTATTGCTGGCCACTATTTTTAATAATATCAGTGGATTTGCTTTCAACCTGATATTAGGCCACATAGTGATATTCCACATAGATTTTAGGATGGAACAGAATATTGGAGACGTGTATGTAAAATTTATTTGTATATACACAGGTATGTGTGTATGTGTGTGCACATGTGTATATTTTGTGTGGCTATCAACATTAATTTTTGGAACAAGATTTTTAAAAAATGCAACAAATTGTGATTTAATTAAAAATAAATTTAAAAATGCAACAAATAAACAATGAGGACAAATAAAGGCAAACAACACATGTGCAAATTTGATTATTCTTGTTATGATTCAGTACAAAAACCCAGAGATTGTTTCTCACTTTACCTTTTAAAATACCCACAGCTTACATATGTCCCCTCTCATATAACATCAAATTTAAATTAACAATTAAATATCCTCCATTATGAGACTCTATTGAATTGTTTTATTTATAAATTAATACAAAAATAAGGAAATTCAAATATTGATGATGATTAAAATTACATATTTAATTCTAATACTTTGAGTAAAAACTCTCAGAGGCCCAAGAGCTATCTCTTAAAGTTTTACAACTGAGCATAATCATTTTGAACCCAAGAGATGAAAGTGATTGAGAAACTCATAACCAAGTTCTTGCTATTCACAATGTTTCCATTGGGTGTAGCTATGATATTTAGATAGGTTAATATCACAGTCTGCGTTTTCAGAAAGGATGCCTAGACATTTGGAGATTTATAGTGGTTTTCTTTGTCTTTAACTTTAAATCATATTAGCTGTATATGGGTATATGGGTTAAGTCAAATAAAACAGTTTCAAATAAGTCAGGTTAAGGATTTCAGTATCATTTTTTAAAATGAAATAAAACAAACAAAACCTGTGTTGAAGCGTTAAAAAAAGTTATTTCAACATAATTTGTTGATTCTGGAATTTTTCATTTAACTACATTAATAAAACCTAATTTAACTTCCTTCTTTTGAGACAGGCATCTGTTGAACCACAAGGGTGAAGAGAGAATGTTCAAACAGTGCAACTCCTTTATCCAATGATGGGTCTAAGCAGATTTCCTTAAAATGACTTTTATGCTAAAAGAAAAAAATATTCTAAAATGCAGGGGCAACTCACATGCTGAGATGAAAACTGCTAACTCATTTTTGAACAACACCATATGTCTCCAATTGGATCACAACACAGTCAGTTCTCAAGGGAATGTTCCAAGTGGAAGCTAACCAATCAGTAGCACAGGCTTCACTGTTGACTACTTGATTAACCAGTGATGCTACTCGGGACTTCGCCAATCAACCCAAAGTCAGTCTGACCTTCTTTCCTTTCCCAATAGCCTCCTTAAATCAAGTGAATCACAAAAGACTCCTCACCCCTCTACAAATATATTTCACTATTTTTCCGACTTCCTCTTTCAAAATATCTTAAGGAATCAAGATGTTAAATTCCTGAATCCTCTAATCATTGGTTTTCAGAAGACACATTACATAGCAATCAGTTACGGAACTCAGGCTTAAAACTTTAAGAAAATATTCTAAAATGGATGAAGTCATATTTTTCCTGAGAATTTACTGAAAACTAAAAAACAACACATAAACTAACACATACTACTAGATCAATATTTTCTTGACAACTGTGGAAATTTCTTTGTAGCACATTATTTCATCTTTAATATCTTTATTAATATCAAAAAATCTTTAAATTTATACACCTAAATTGAATAATTTCTATTACTAGCAGATTGATATAAAGTTAAGACATTTCTAGCTTACACTGAGATACACATGATTTATTCAACTTTTTCGTGTTAAATGTAATATTTTATAGCATAAAAAGGTGTACAGAAAAATGTTAGGACATTTCTCTTTTGAAAGTAAAAGACCAAGGAAAAGTATATATTGGTGATTTTCAGACTATCGCCGATCAATTTAAGTTTGTTTTTTTATGTGTCAATAACTGATACTTCAGTAGCATCTGAAATTAGAGATGCAGCTCTTATGATGATATCAACTTGCTATCAAAGTATCTAAATGTTTGCTTTCATTCCTGGTACTCTTGTCATAGAAGAAATGTTTGGATCTGGCATCAAACTATAGATTCCACTGTAATTCTCATGTTTATATACTTTCCAAATTAGAAGTAACAATACAAATATTAATGACATGAGTCATAAACTTAGTTTAAATAAATATTTAATTATTTTTGCTGGATGTCCTTTCTAATTCACTTTAGGAAATTGATAAAAGACATAAAAAGAAAGGGCAAAGTAGGATTAGGAAGAAAGTTTTGTAATTAAGAGGAATATGAATCACTATGTAGTTAAGAAATTATGTTTAATGTTTAAGGAGATAGGACAGGGTTTAAGTACATGCCTTGCATGCTGCCAACTCTGATTAGACCTACAGCATCGCATCATTTCCCAAGCACCACCACTGCAGTCCTGGGGCCCCTCAACACTACTGGTATACAAGGAAGTTTGGTGTGCCTAAGTAAGGACCTGAATCACAGGGCTCAAAGAGCAACACATTCTTGAGCCCCATCATTGAACCTGTGGTCTAGCCCTATTGGCCAAGAGTCACAAGACACGGCTCCTGGGTACCCAGAATACTGCTTGGGAGATAACAAGCCAAAATATTAAAACTTTAAAACACACATGTATAGAAGCATTCATTTCCCTCCTGGTGACCAAACAAAGGACTCATCACACATTCATCCTAAGAGTAACAATAAGTCTAAGCACTATTGATTATACTTAATGATACTTCTTACCTGGGATGCCTGGTGGTGTTTTCAGGTATTTTCCATTAAAGTGTTGAATAACCACTTCACATTTTTCAGTAGACTCCATTCTGGGAATAGGGATAAACAAAGGGTCATAAGTTTTCACAGAATTCTATATATATTCAAGGGTAAATAAAATGAAAAGGATTGTAAGTCATGGAAAATCTTGACTTGAGAATTTTACCAGAATTGTCAACTATATTGCCACGATTACCAGCAACAGATCAATACAATATCATAAACTTATCACTTTCTAAATTTGGGTTTAGCCTGTTGAGTGTTGCCTGTGCAAAAGACTGGTCCTCACCCATGGGTAATATTGAGAATTTATTGAATTTAATCTAGAGCTGGAGCGATAGCACAGCAGGTAGGGCGTTCGCCTTACACGCGGCCAACATGGCCGACCCAACATGGCCGACCCGAGTTCGATTCCTCCGCCCCTCTCGGAGAGCCCGGCAAGCTACCGAGAGTATTCGATATGCCAGACACAGTAACAACAAAGTCTCCAATGGAGACGTTACTGGGCCCGCTCAAGCAAATCGACGATCAACGGGAGGGCCTTTACCTTTACCTTTAATACTTAAAAATAATGCATGGCAATTGAAAAATGCAGGCTGAAGTGATAGCACAGCGGTGGGGCGTTTGCCTTGCATGCAGCCAACATGGCTGATCTGAGTTTGATTCCTCTGGCCCTCTCGGAGTGCCGGGCAAGCTACCGAGAGTATCTCGCCCGCACGGCAGAGCCTGGCAAGCCACCCGTGACACACTCGATATGCCAAATACAGTAACAACAAGTCTCATGATGGAGATGTTACTGGGCCCGCTCGAGCAAATCGATGAACAACGGAAGGGATGTGACGTGACATAATTGAAAAATGCATAATTTTCTGTCGAATAAATTATATATCTCAATATAAGGTATAGAGAAATGTACTATCTCACCAATAAAGGGTTGCATTAATTATTTAACCTATTACATTTCAGTTAAGAAACTTAGGCTGTAACTACTTGGACATGTTGTCTAGGAATTCTATAAAACAGGTTGAGGTGTGCTTCATTTCTATTGCTTGCAGGAGTGATTAATACACTCAGCGTAATAATACAGTACTGTGCCATCAACATACTGACAGTTGAAAGATTTAAAAGAGGTATTTGGGCTTCTAAATGTGGAAAAAATATAAAAATGCAAATCTCAGTGATGATCTTTCTAAATTATGAATTATGGACAATCCTCTATTTTTCATGAAATATCAATATTCTAACACACTATTCTTATTTTGCTAAATATTGGCACATCACATACAAACTAAAGAAGAGGCAGTATGGTGGCTCAAAGCATGCTACCATTTGCATGGTTAGCATATGGGAAGTTCAATCTCTGGTACTATCTAATTGGTCCCTTAATCACCACTGCGAGTGACCCAAGAGCAATGCTAGGATCAGGTTTAGGTAATGTCAAGTATAGCCTAAACTCCTTCCCAAAGCAATCAAACAAAGCAAAGCAAAACAGAACAAAGCAAAATAAACATTATGAACCATACCATTTTAACGTGAATAATATAATAGTATCATGGTCCGGTCACGGTCCTCCCGTTGTTCATCGATTTGCTCGAGTGGACCCAGTAACGTCTCCATCATGAGACTTGTTACTGTGTTTGGCATATCGAGTATGTCACGGGTAGCTTGCCAGGCTCTGCCGTGCAGGCGAAATACTCTCAGTAGCTTGCCCAGCTCTCTGAGAGGGGCAGAGGAATCGAACTCGGGTCGGTCATATATAATCCCATAAAACTACACTAGAGGAAAAATACATTTATGAAACATCACACATATGCATGAAATAATATATATTAAATGAGGAAAAATTGTTTAAATCATAACTTCTTGAACTGGACAGTGATCCCATTATAGGATCACCTAACTGAATGTAGGGTTACAAAAAAATCGGCAAAGTAAATGTTTCTCAATATGAAATGACCAAAAATAAATTTAAAATCAAATGTGTACTAAAGTTATAGTTTTGGTCCATGCTACATTTCTTAGGCAAACCCAGAAAATTTTCAAAAGCTCTCACTAAAACCAGACTCTTTAACTGTTTGTCAGGCCCCATGTAGGGTCATGTAGTTGAATGAGAGGCTCATGAAAATTATAATACTTGCTTTTAAATAAATTTCTTTATGATATATACTATACTCTTGATTTGTGTATCTGTTTTACTTATCTATTTACCAGGTGGTACATAAATTTGTCTCAGGCAAAAAGGAGTCTCAGATGGAAAGCTTAAGAAGCCTTGGTCTAAAAGACAAAGGTCAAGTCTGGATTTTGTCATGTTTTTAATATGAGCTTCTTAGAATAGATTTTTCATAAAAAATAAAAATATATTTTAATTAAAATTTTATAATTATTTTCAGGAGCTTATTACATGACAATTTTACATGCAAAGAATACAAAGAGAAGTATGTTAACAAGTGCCTGGAGAATTATATTTTATTATACTTAAAGGAGTACTAACCACTATACAATCACGGCGAGCTACCAGGGCCTGGATCGATAGCACAGTGGGTAGGGCATTTTCCTTGCACGCGGCCGACTCAGCCAATCCGAGTTCAATTCCTCTGCCCCTCTTGGAGAGCCCGGCAAGCTACCGAGAGTATCTTGCCCACATGGCAAAACCTGGCAAGCTACCTGTGACATATTCAATATGCCAAACATAGTAACAAGTCTCACAATGTTACTGGGCCCGCTCAAGCAAATTGATGAACAATGGGAGGACAGTGACAGTGACAGTGATACTTAAAGGAATTCAAATGTGAGAGGAACACCAGATGTTTAAAAAAGACAGAGAAGTGAGCACAAAAAATGCCAGAAATGGGTCCAGAGAGACAATACAGCAGTTAAGATGCTTGTCTTAGATTTGGCCAACTCAGGTTTGCTTCCCAGTATCCTTTATGATCCGTAAGCATATGGCCAGGAGTGATTCCTGAGAACAGAGTCAGGAGTAACCCCTGAGTACCTCTGGGTGTGACTCCTAATAAAAAAATCTCAGAATGCCTTTAGTGCAGTGATTTGGGGGATGGGGTCATTGAGCAGAACAAGTCTGAGGGGCTGTGTCCTCCCCCTGTAGATGGGTAGAGTGAGTGGGCCAGGGGACAGGAGTGAAAGGCTAGTGGGAAACTTGGAGATGAGTAAATTAATGGAGAGAAGAGCATTTAAATTTACTTGGTGGTATTTTAAGGGATTTGAGGAGAGACTTCAAAGGAATTTGAAGATGACATCAAAACAAATTTCATCAGCAAACATACAGGAGCTGAATATATCACAGTAATTTTATCAAGTCCTTATAATAATGGTTGATGATACCAGATTAACCAAAAGAATTAACATAAGGCAGAACCTAGTTTTGTTGCTTCTAATGAGTTCAAATTAATGAAGCAAACTTTCAGTACACCAGATTTCAATGTAACATAAATCAGAACTTTCTGAAAAGGTATTCCATTAGAGAGCAAGTTATATTGCAAAGAGATTAATTTTCTCTCAATTAATGTTAAGGGCGAGGCAGGAAAACCACAGAAAGTATTCCATTATTGGATAGATGGTTCAACAAGGAATCTTACTATCTTCCCTTATTCGAAGGTTGTAGCACTGTAGCACTGTAGCACTGTCTTCCCGTTGTTCATTGATTTACTCAAGCGGGCCCAGTAACGTCTCCATTGTGTGACTTGTTACTGTGTTTGGCACATCAAATATGTCACGGGTAGCTTGCCAGGCTTTGCCATGCGGGCAAGACACTCTTGGTAGCTTGCCGGGCTCTCCTAGAGGGGCGGAGGAATTGAACTCAGGTCGACCAAGTTGGCCACGAAGGCACCACTTTTTTTTTTTTAATTAATTTATTTATTTATTGAATCGCTGTGGGAAAAATTACAAAGCTTTCAAGTTTAGGTCTCAGTCATGCAAATATCAATCACAATTCCCTTTACCAATACTTATTTTTCACCACGAAGAACCCCAATAAACCCCCACCCCCCAACCTCCCCAATGTCTGTGGGGTAGATGAATTCTAGTTAACACTCTGTCTACTTTGACTAGCTTCATTGTTTTGATAAAAGTTGCACCATTATTATTTAGACTTTACCCCCCCCCCCCCACAAACTCAGCCATGCTGAAAAAGCATTGTGAAATGATCTGCTTTCTACAGCTGGGTTCAAGAATTAAATGATGTCGCGCGGCCGCTATCGCGGCCTCGCGGTTTTGGATTTCTGCTATTTTATTTATTAACCCTGCAAGTATTTCTACTGAGAGTCAGATAATTAAGAGATTGGTCTCTGTGCTTCAGGGGCCGTGGCCGTGCCAGAGAGCCGCTCGTGGGGGGCAACTGGTGACCTCAGTCGGGCGCCCCCCGTCCCATGAGGTTTCAGTCGCGCCCCACCCCCAGCTCATACCTGCTCTCCACCAGGCTCCCATGCGCATCTTTCTTTCCAGAGAGGATACGCGAAGGCACCACTTTTAAAATTATATTAAAATTTGGTTTCAAGTGCTCTTTCCAATATATTGAAACATTAAAAAAAAGTTGTTTGTTTCACTATTTTTCTAGTTTTATTAAGATGTATTTGACATAATTTACTTATATAGCATAATGACTTGACTAATGTATGTTGTGAAATAATTACCACAATAAATTTAGCTAATATTCATTATTTCATATAATAAAAATGGAAAAAAAAACAATTTGTTTCGATGAGGTGAGAATTCAGGATTTACTCTCAATTTTTCTGTATAGAATACAAGAGATTGCAATGGATCACATGATAGTTCAGGGTTTTTTTTGTAAAAAAATTTAATTGAATTACCATGAGAAACACTGTTACAAAGCTGTTCTTGGTGAGGTTTCACTCATACAGTGTTTCAATACCCATCCCTCCATCAGTATACATTTTTCACCACTAATGTCTCTCTCTCTATCTCTTCTCTCTCTCTTTCTTACTCTCTTTTCCCCTGTCACTTTTTGGGCATTATTGATTACAATACAGATACTGAGGGGTTACCACGTTTGTCGCTTTGCCTATTTTCAGTA